GGGGGGCAGTGAGGGGGGGCTCCGTCCTTCTCTTAAGTGTTCTGTACCTCATCCATGCCCTGTGGGGCTGCAGGCAGGCAGCAGTTGTGGGTTGGGGGCAGCTGCGGGGCTGCAGCCCCTGCTGCGCTCAGGGGCTCACTGTTGGGGTGCACTAAGGGGGCTCCCCTCTGCTCAGTGCTCTGTACATCACCCGTGTCCCATGCGACAGCTGTAGGGCTGCAGGCAGGCAGCAGCTGCAGGCTTTGGGGCAGCTGTGGGGCTGCAGCCTCTCTGGTGCAATCAGGGTCTCAGTGCTGGGGCACCGAGGGGGCTCCCCTCCTTCTGCTCAGAGCTCCCCATACTTCATCCATGCCCCACGTGGCAATGGCGCTGTAAGCAGGCAGCAGGTGTGGGGCTGCAGTTCAGGGGCTCGGTGCTGGGGGGCAACTGGGAGCCATCGCCTCCATGCCCCATATGGCAACTGTGCGGCTGGAGGCAGGCAGGCGGCAGCTGCAGGCTTTGGGACAGCTGGGGGCTGCGGTTCCCCCCATGCACTCTGTGCTGGGGGGCACTGAGGGGGCTCCCCTCCTTCTCCTCAGCGTTCTGTACCTCATCCAGGTCCCCCATGGCAGCTGTGGGGCTGCAGTCCCTCTGGTCAATCAGCGTGGGGGCTCCCCTCCTTCTGCTCAGCGCTCCATACCTCACCCGCCATCCTGGGGCTGTAAGCAGGCAGCAGGTGCGGTTCTGCAGCTCAGGGGCGCGCTGCTGGGAGGCTCGCATTCTCAGCGCTCCACCGTCCTGAAGGGCAGCTGCGGGGCTGCAGCCCCCTGGTGGGCACAGAGGCTCAGTGCTGGGTGGACCGGGTCACTGTGGGGCTCTTTCTTCTCAGCGCCCCGCTCCTCATCCCGTCCCCGGAGGGAATTCCGCTCACGGTACCTCACGGCCCCTCCTCACAGAGGCGGAGAAGCAACGGACGGACAGCCGCGCCGCCCCCCCCCCAACTTCTCTTCACAAACAAACAACACGCCGGGCGGGGCGAGAGAATGGGCGGGAAAGCTATTCCTCTTCCTATTGGTTCAGTTGTCCGTCCATCTTCTCTGCCCCGCCTCTCTCCGCGCGGTCGGCTCTTCCTATTGGTTCGTCCTCACGTCACTCCGCAGGGTCCTCCGGCCACGCCCCCCGCCCCCCCACCCCGCCTTCAGCCTCTGCGTGCCGTGTGCAAAGGAAAAACAGCCGTTAAACGGGCCGCGGGGCGGGGCCAGCGGAGCGACCAACAAGCCGCGCGGCGATTGGCGGCGGCGGGACGTTCAAATCAGTACGGGGCGCTCCGATTGGCCCGGGGTCGCCGCGGCAGGCCGGGCTCCCTCCTCGCGCTCGGACGGGTATTGTCTGACGGCTCCTGAGGCGGTTCGAGCGGCGGAGTCGGGGACCGGCGGCGGCACCATGGTGAGGAACGGGGCCGGGGGGCGAGGAGACGGCCTGAGGGGGAGCGAGGAGCGGGGCTGGGGGCGAGGACTGAAGGGCGCGGGGCCCGAACCGTGCGGGCGTTGCGCTGCGTGTGGGCGGGAAGGCCCGAGGGGGAGAGGAGAAACGTCAGCGCTGGGGACGGACGGCGGGCAGAGCGGCCGCGGGACGGCGGTTGGAAGGGGCCTGCAGGGGCAGCTCGTCCCGACGCTCTGACCTCGGGCCCGGATGCTTCCAGGGAGGGGAGAAGGGCAGAGCGGCCGGAACGGCCCGGCCTGCTGCGCTTGGCGCTGCCAGAGCGGCTGCGGCTCCTGCCCCGCATCGCGCTGCCCGGCCCTTCCCTGCATCCACAGCCTGGATTTCCGCCCTGCGCCCCCTCTGCCGTTCCCTGTATTCCTGCCCCGTGCCAGGAGCGCGGTGCCGAACGCAGCCCGCCCCGATGCTTCCCACCGCGCTCACATCCTATGGAGTCTCACGAAGCCTCATTTCGGCACCAAAGCGGCGCTGCTCCAAGGGCTGTCAGCCCCACGCTGTGCTGCGCCGCTCCTGAACTCAACGCTTTCCCGTCGCAGCTTTGCTGGAGGGGTTTCTGTTCGCTCTTTGGGCTGCGCTTCCTCCGGGGCGCTGCGCAGGGACGCGGGTTTTGTGCAACAAAGCGCTGTGGGGGGGCGGCACGGCGCTGTAGGGGTAACGCGCTCCGGTAGGGGTTGTGTGGAGCCCTGAATGACGGCACGGGGCGGTTGTGCTCACGGCATCACGGGACGCCCTGCGTTGCACAGGAGCCTCAGTTCGGGCCCGGATGCTTCCAGGGAGGGGAGAAGGGCAGAGCGGCCGGAACGGCCCGGCCTGCTGCGCTTGGCGCTGCCAGAACGGCTGCGGCTCCTGCCCCGCACGGCGGCCATCAGTTCCAGCCCCGCTGTGTGCAGCTCCCGAGCAGCAGCCCGGAGCCGCATCCAGCCTGGCCTCGAACGCCTGCAGCGCCGGGGCGTCCGCAGCCTCTTAGGGCAGCCTGCGCCACCGCCTCGCCGCCCTCTGGCTGCAAAGCTTCCAACCTCAACCTCCCCGGTCTCATTTGAACGCCGCTCCCCTCGTCCCGTCGCCGTCCGCCCGCACAAACGGTCAAACCGGGCCGGCTGTTGGGTGCTGAACGCGGCGCTGCGCTCGCCCCGCAGCCTTCCGTTCTGCAAGCGGAACGAGCCCGGCTCCCTCGGCCTTCACACACGGGAGCTCGGCCCTCTGCCGCTTCGGCCGCCGCTCCCTGAGGAGCCGCTCTGCCCTCGGCCGCCGCTCCGCAGCCCCGCGTCCCCCCCTCCCAAAGCCGCCCGCGGCGCTCCGTTCCCCCCCCGGCGGCGCCGCACAGCCGAGGAGCGCAGAGCCCCGGGCGCCGCGCTGACCGCGCTCTCCGTCCCGCAGGCAGGTGGGAAGGCCGGGAAGGACAGCGGGAAGGCCAAGGCGAAGGCGGTGTCTCGCTCGCAGAGAGCCGGATTGCAGGTAACGAGCGGCGGCCGCGGCGCTGCCATCCGTGCCGGGCTCAGTGCTGTAAGCGCCGCTCCGCCGCTGCCACGGCGCCCCGCCACGCCTTTTCCCCCGCTCCAAGGTGAAGTTCCCTGCCCTGCCTCCTCCGCCGCTCGCCCTCAGGCCGTGCCCGCAGGGCGGGGCGGGGCCGGATGCTCCCGACGCGCGGCCCCCGGCCGCCGCCCGCCCCGCTCAGCCGCCTCTCCCCCGTTGCAGTTCCCCGTGGGCCGCATCCATCGGCACCTGAAGACTCGCACCACCAGCCACGGCCGGGTCGGCGCCACCGCCGCCGTGTACAGCGCCGCCATCCTCGAGTACCTCACGGCTGAGGTGGGTGCGGGGCGCCGGGGGGGGGGGCTGGAGGGGCGGCCGGGCTGCGCTGCGCTGCTGCCCGCGGCTCTGCAGCACGGCTGAGGGATCTGAGTGCTGCTGGAAGGCTGTGAGCGTTGGTTCCGTGGGGCAGGGCTGTGGGGTTCTGCTGTGGGGTGATGCTGTGGGGTGATGCTGTGGGGTGATGCTGTGACAGAGCTGTGGGGCAGCGTTTTGGGGTTCTGCTGTGGGGCAGCACTGTGGGATGGTGCCGTGGAGGAGTGCTTTGGGATGGTGCTATGGGGTGATGCTATGGGGCAGTGCTTTAGGATTCTGCTATGGGGCGTTGCTTTGGGATGGTGCTGTGGGGCAGAGCTATGGGGCAGTGCTTTGGGGTTGTGATATGGGGTGATGCTTTGGGGCAGCGTTTTGCTGTGGGGCAGCAGTGTGGGGTTACACCCTAAGATGACACTACAGTGTGATGCTGTGGGGTGACAGTGTGGTGTGATTCCATGGGGCAACGATACGGAGCAGCACTGTGGGGTGACGCTATGGGGTGGCACTAAATGGTGACTATGGGGCAGTGCTTTTGGGTAGCGCTGTGGGGTGACACTACGGGGCAGCGCTATGGGGCGATGCTGTGACACAGCGCTATGGGGCAGCACTATGGGGTGATGCTGTGACAGCGCTATGGGGCAGCGCTATGGGGTGATGCTGTGATGCAGTGCTATGGGGCAGTGCTATGGGGCGATGCTGTGATGCAGCGCTATGGGGCAGCGCTATGGGGCGATGCTGTGGGGCAGCAGCTGGGCTGAGCAGAGCGTTCCCAACGCGCAGCCCCCCGCCGTTCCCCCGCAGGTCCTGGAGCTGGCAGGCAACGCCTCCAAGGACCTCAAAGTGAAGCGCATCACCCCCCGCCATTTGCAGCTGGCGATCCGTGGGGACGAAGAGTTGGATTCCCTCATCAAAGCCACCATCGCGGGGGGAGGTAGGTGGCACCGGGGGGGCACCCAGTGCACGCAGCAGCACCCATAGGGGCGCCCAGCGGCACCCCATGACGCCCCAGTGGTACCCATAGGAGCACCCGGTGGCACATAACAACACCCATAGGGTCACCCATTGACACCCCAGGGCCACCCGATGGCACCCCATGACATCCCAGAGGCACCCACAGGGGCATCCATAGAGGCACCCATAGGGGCACCCAGTGGCACCACCCAATGGTGCTGATAGCACCACGGCACCTATAGGATCGCCCATGGGGGTCACCCAGTGGCACCCATAGGGGCATCCGTAGGGGAACCCACAGGGTCACCCAGTGGCACCCAGTGACACCCATAGGGGCACCCATGGGATCACCTGTAGGCACCCAGTGGCACCCAATGGCACCCATGGGATCACCTGTAGGCACTTAATGGAACCCCATTGCTCCCCGGTGGCACCCAATGGCTCATAACAACACCCATAGGGTCACCCATTGACACCCCATTGCCACTGAATGTCACCCATAGGGGCTTCCATAGAGGCACCCCTGGGGGCACCCAGTGGCACACAGCAGCACCCATAGGGTCATCCAGTGGCACCACCCATAGCACCCAGTGGTGCTAATAGCACCCACAGCAGCACCCGGGGCACAACACGGCACCTATAGGATCACCCATGGGGGTCACCCAGTGGCACCCATAGGGACACCCAATAGCACTAACAGTACCCACAGGGTCACACAGTGGCACCCACAGGGGCATCCATAGGGGAACCCACAGGGTCATCCATTGGCACCCAATGACACCCCAATGGCGCCCATAGGAGCACTTGATGGCACCCATAGGAGCACCCACTGGCACATAACAACATCCATAGGGTCAACCATTGAGACCCCAGTGCCACCCAGTGGCACCCCATGACATCCTAGAAGCACTCAATGGCAGCCCATGACACCCCAGTGGCACCCGTGGGGTCACCCAATGGCACCCAATAGCACTCATAGGGGCGCCCAATGGTACATAACCGCACCCATAGGGGCATCCAGTGGCATTAATGTCACCCATGGGGGCATCCAGTGGCACCCATAGGGTCACTCATCACTCAGTGGCACCACCCATGGCACCCAATGGTGCTAATGGCACCCATAGTGGCACCTGGGGGCACAATATGGCACCTATAGGATCACCCATGGGGGTCACCCAATGGCACCCATAGGGACACCCAGTAGCCCTAATGGCGCCCATAGGGGCACCATGGGGTTACCCAGTGGTAGAGGAACCTACAGGGTCACCCAGTGGCACCCAATGACACCCCTAGGGGCACCCATAGGGACACCCACAGGGTCCCACAATGACACCCATGGGGTCACCCACTGGCACTAATGGCACCCATAGGGACACCCATAGGGGCACCCATAGGGTCCCACAATGACACCCATGGGGTCACTGACTGGCAGTAATGGCACCCATAGGGGCACCCATAGGGTCCCACAATGACACCCATGGGGTCACCCACTGGCACTAATGGCACCCATAGGGACACCCATAAGGTCACACAATGACACCCATGGTGTCATTCACTGGCACTAATGGCACCCATAGGGACACCCACAGGGTCCCAAAATGCACCTATGGTGTCACCCACTAGCAGTAATGGCACCCATAGGGACACCCATAGGGTGTTCACTAATGGCACCCATAGGGTGTTCACTAATGGCACCCATAGGGGCACCCACAGGGACACCCACAGGGACACCCATGGGGCACCCACAGGGACACCCACAGGGACACCCACAGGGGCACCCATAGTGGCACCCATAGGGACACCCACAGGGACACCCACAGGGACACCCATGGGGCACCCATAGGGTCGCACAGCGACACCCCGGGTCCCCGTTGTTGCCCTCCATCCGGCTGCCCCCAGCCTCCCTGCCGTTTCTCCGCAGGCGTCATCCCACACATCCACAAGTCGCTGATCGGGAAGAAGGGGCAGCAGAAAACCGCGTAGGGACGGCGCTCCGACCCGGCGCCGCTGCGGCCCAGCGCTGCTGGGCTGGGGGGGGGAGAGGGGGGGAAAGGGGAAACGTTGCGATGGGTTTTGTGTCCCCCCCCCGGGGCCGAGGTTTCAGCCGCGTGTTTTGTACCGAAATGGAGCGGATAAAACATTTTTTACAAAGCGCGTGGCTGCGGTGCGGAACGGAGCCGTGGGGAGAGCGGCACCAGCGCCTGCAGGCGTTCGGGGGGAGGCCGGAAAGGTGGGATGGCGAATAGAACCAGAGCCATCGAATCACCGAGGTTGGAAAAGGCCCCAAAGCTCCTCCAGTCCAACCGTCACCAGCAGCTCCACTGACCCCCGTCCCTCAGCACAGCATCCAGCCTTTCCTTCCACACCCCAGGCTCGGTGCCTCCCCCACCTCCCTGTGCATCCACTGCAGTGCTGACCTTTCTGACAGTCACGCAGCCTCACGGCCAGCCTGAATCTCCCCTGCCGCAGCTTGAAGCCGTTCCCTCTGCTCCCATCACTGATGGCACGAGAGCAGAGGCCGCCCCCAGCTCCCTGCAGCCTCCCCTCAGCAGCCATAGGGAGCAGTGAGCTCTGCCCTGAGCTCCTCTTCTCCAGGCTGAACATCCCAGCTCCTTCAGCCTCTCCTCAGCAGCTCTGTGCTCCAGACCTGGGGAGGTTCGGCACGGCGCAGTTCAGCTCTTGGGCCGGAGGAGCCGCAGGTATGAGCACAGAATGGAGGAGCTCCTGGAGAGCAGCCCTGCAGGGACGGAGCCGGGGGTCCTGAGGGATGGAAAGCTGAACGCGAGCCAGCAGTGTGTGATTGCAGCTGGGCAACAAACGGGAGCCTGGGCTCCGTCAGCAGAGGGGGGGCAGCAGGGACAGGAGGCGATCGTCCCCCTCTGCTCTGCTCCTGTGAGGCTCCATCTGCAGCACTGCGTCCAGGGCTGGAGCCCCCAGGACAGGAAGG